CTAAGAAACCACCAAAAGCGCGCAAGAGGACCTCATGATGAGCAACGCGCAACAACCGTCAGTTCCCCAAGGGGTCGGCGGTGTGGCGCAAGCCCAGGAATCTTGCTACTACACGCGCGGAAGTGACGTGCTGAGCGGCAGCGTTTTCCACGGAGGCGATACTGCAACGTATCCAATGTACCCAATTGTTGTATAATTGCCACTCCGCCGTACCAAGGTGGTTGCCCACTTTTCCAGTTCTCAAAACCTGTTAAAAAACCACGGGGAATCGACGATTTGGGCCTCTGGGGCCTCTTTAGACTCCAAGAGGGCCTCAAGATGGCCCAAGATGGCCCCAAGACTGCCCAAGACGGCCCTGGATGGTCCCAAGAAGGCCCGTGAGGCCTCCAAAACGGCTCAAGGGGGCCCCAGGAGGACTCGAAAGAGCGCCTCCAGGAGACAAAATCATTGGTTTTCTGTTTGCTTTTGAAAGATTTCGGCGTTCTCTCCTTTTTCGGCTTTCAGAAGACCATGACGGCCCAAGCAGCCTCCAAGAAGCCCTCAAGACGGCCAACGAGACCCCCAAAGGGGCCCCAGCATTGCCCAAGAGGGCCCCGAGTCGGCCAAAAGAGACCCCCAAGACGGTCCAAGGGTCCCCAAGACGGCCCAAGAGTACCCCAACAGAGCCCTAAGGCGGCCGCCTCCAAGATGGCCTCCGAAGGGGCCAGACGGCGCAAGAGCGCCCGAAGCCGGCGCAAAACGTCAACAAGAAGCCCCCAGAGGCCCCAAACCGGTCCCAAAGACGCTCCAAGAAACCCCCACGAGGCTTTCAAGAAGCTCCCAAAAACCCCCCATGAGGCAGCCCAGAAGCCCTGGGGATTGCAGGACGGAGCGGCGCGCACGCACGGCAGCCGAGCAAGTCACGCCAACCAACGCCCACACCGTGGCCCACACCTTCCACATTTGAGCACCTCTCCACAGCGGCGATTACGGCCGCGAGAGGCCCCAGACCGGCCTCGAGAGACCGGCCTCCGAATGGGCCACACGCCGCAAGGGCGCCCCAAGACGGCCCAAGACGCCCCCAAAAGGCCCCAAGAGGCCCCAAAGAAACCCAGTGCTGAAGAGGCCCCAAGAAGCCCCCAAGGCACATCCAAGAGGCCACAAAGAAGCTCGCAAGAGGCCCCGCAACGACTGGACTGTACGTGTTCCGGACGTGCACCCCGCGAAGCGAGCGGAATCTTGCTACTACACGCGCGTTGACACACTCACTTCGCCGTCGGTACATGTATGTCTGTCTATCTGTCTGTCTGTCTGTCTGTCTGCCTGTCTGTATGTATGTATGTATGTATGTATGTATGTATGTATGTATAGATGCGTGTGTGTATGTGTATATATCCATACACAATGTATTCCTATAGATATCAGCCACTGTGGACTCCAAACAGGTGTTTCCCCAGCAGTCTTCTTGTTTGCGCAATCTGTGGGACAGAGTTGATGGCGCAAAGTGCGTGGAAAAGTTCATAAAGTCTATTGCTCGCGCAACCATCCAACCCAACCGCCTGCAACTTAGTATACAAAACCAATGCGGCGGCGATTGCGATGATTGCTCGGCGCTGGCTGGCGCATCGCTGCGGCGGCGCTAGCGCGCAAGCTCTTGCGCTGACAGGCTAGCCGAACTGGTGCCACTGGCGCGACCGCGGCGGCGCTGACCTCTGGGACATCCCAGCGAGTCTCGCATGCCGCGCGGACACGAGAGCACTTCAGTGCGGGTCGGTGACTCGGGCGGGCGCGCGGTATCATGGCGACGTCGGCAAAGGCGGACACGATGATGATAGTAACCATGATGGTGAAGGCGGTGACGACGACGATAAGGCCAATGATGACGCCGATGCTGGTCACGCCGATGACGATTATGCTGTCCATGCGTCCGTGATGAAGGTTTTGGCAGGATTTCGACATGCGCGCGCGGCCGCCGCGCGCGTGGCCAACATGGTAATATCTGGCAGGGATCACCCCCGCCCAAACAAAAACAAGGAAGCGCGCAAAGGCGTTCAAACGATTTCGGCATGCGCGCGCGGGAGGCCCGTGAGATCCCGCTTGGTGAGAATACTGGAACACATTGCGGTTTCCTTAAAAATCGCAAAAGCGCGCGAACAGATTTGTTCGACAAGCCATGTTGCGAAATCGCTGGTGCTCCATATGTTTTCGGGGACTTCGAACTCGGTGTTTGAAGGGTTCCAGCATGCGCGCGCGACTCTGAGCGCGTGTTGACTTTGCCATACCTGTTACGAGGGGTTCTCGAAAATGGATGAAAGTGGATGTGCGAATGCGCGCGACTAGTTGTTTGGTCAAGGATGAAATGGGGGCGATACCTGTTTGGATAGGACAATATCAAATCAGGTGTACCATGGACGGTGGGGGTAAACCGTATGTGCGTTGTATCATCCCAGGGGGAACCAGGAAACCCCAGAAGGGGTGGTGGAGGTGGTGGTAGATCCAGTTCTATGTGCAGAAAGGAAAATGTACGTGGTGCATTTCATCCTGTCGACCTTGCAGTTGTCAACCCACCCACCCACCCACCCGCAACTTGGTTTGCAAAACCAATGCGGCGGCGATTGCGATGACTGCTCGGCGCTGGCTGGCGCATCGCCGCGGCCGCGCACGATATATGTGGTGCTATCTGAGTGGTGCCATATATGTGATGCAAATGAAGTGGTTCAATCTATGCGGTGTGATCTATTTGGTGCCGTCTAGGTTGTGCGACACACGTGGTGCAATCTATGCGGTGTGATCTATGTTGTGCAATATCTGTGTTGCGATGTGTCTTGTGCAGCCTGGCTTGTGCTACACATGCGGTGAAACCTACAACCGAAAATATGATCAAGGGAATGATCATTTAAGAAACCCGGGCCAACTTTCCAACAGTTTCTTCAGACAAGCCTGGGCCAAGTGTTCGTGCTAACGTTGGAAGGGTGAACGTGCTCAAGAAACTGGGCCAGCTTTGAGGGAAGTTGGTTACGAAACGCTGGCCCAGCTGTTCAGGAGGAGGTTTCTTAATCATATGCTCGACTGTCTGCAGCACGGTCTATGTGGTGCACGTATGCGAGGCCGCGATGAGTCGGCCACGGCGACAACATAGCCGCCAGACCAACAACCAGGCCCAGACGACGGGCGGCGACGAGGCGGCGAAGGGGCGGCGACGGCGACAACATGACCGCCAGACCGACAACCAGGCCCAGACGACAGGCGGTGACGATGCGGCGACGGGACGGCGACGGCGTCTGCATCGCCGCCAGGCAGGCACGCAGGGCCGGGTTCCTCAGAAAAGATGTAAGAACCCCGAAGAGCAAACACGGTGTTGGGAATATACCTCTATGTATGCCACCTTCCACAAATGACTCAAGGCTTCTCGGGGTCCCTAAGGGGCTTCTTATGCGATGAGCCCACAGCGCCGCCTGAAACGAAACCGTGGGTGGCACGTTCTGTCATTGAGTGGTCCTGCTCCTACCGCTGCTCATCCTCATCCGCATCCTTCTCATCCACGTCCCTCGCATCCCTGTCACCAATCCCTCTTCCCCCTCCACTCCCACCTCCCTCCCTCCCTTCACGTCTTCCCCCCTACCCCCTTCCCGTTCCCGCTCCCACCCCACCACCTTTCCCACCATTCGCCCCCTACCTTCTCTCAGCCCCACCCCTCCTCCTGTTCCTCCCCCCTGTGCCTCCTCCCGTCCCTCTCCCGCTCCGCTGCCGTCTTTCCTCCTCCTCCACCTCCTCCTGTATCCCTGTTCCTGATGAGAGACAATTCCTCCTGTCGCTCCAACAGACGTGTGTGTAAGCTGGTCCGGGCGTTTCGCTTGAGACCTCCTTACGAATTGCGATTCTAGAGCTTCAAGGGGGACAGCAACAACACGGGTGGAGGGTCGATGGTTTTCAAAATGAGGCTACCGCCTTATCGCAGCGCGCGCTCTTTTTGAAAGCTTGCAGCAGTTAGAGGGGTGGAGGACAGGTAGTTTTTGAAATGGGGCTCTCGTATGAGCCCGCGCGCATTCGTCTTCCAAGCTTCCATCTGTTACAGAGACTGAGGGCCAATGGGGCTTTCGCCTTCGCACCGCGCGCACTAGTTTTGAAAACTTGCCAACTCTACAAAGATGGAGGGGAGGAACTTTACATTTAAGTAAATTAGCATGCCGAGGCCCTGGATGATGGAGAGCACGACACAGTGAAACAGGCGCTCTGCTTCAAAGAGCGCGCAACCCGGGGCCGCACCCCCCCTACCACCTCTCCCGTCTTCCTCCGGCCTGGGTCTCCGTTTCCCGGCGGTCTGCCAGGTCCTCCTGGGCATGTTCCAAATCGGGCTCTCGCCACAGCGCCGCGCACATTCATCTTCAGAGCTCCAAGCAGCTACATCGATGGAGACCAGCCTGTTCTCAAATTCTGTGACCCAATATTCCAATGTGTGAAACAGCTGCTCACATGGGACGCGGATCATTTTCAAAGTGGGTTCTCTCTCGAGACTCCCGAAACTTCGATGATCAAAACTGGAACCAGTGCAACACGTACACGGATGAAGGGCAGACCCTTTTCAGAACTGGGTTATCGCTGCAAGCGGCCTCGACCTTTAAAATTGTACCCATTTGCGTTTCTTCCAAGCTAAAGGGTTGCATGGTGGACATTTAGATACGTACTGGGGCTTCGCATGAGTGACAGGCCCACAAGGCAGTCGTCCTTCAAGGGGGTCATTCGAAGGGAGGCACCATCCGCAAGGGAACGGCAGACTGGTAGTGACTTATGAGAAGGGGGCTTGGGATGGGTGGGTGCATTGCAGCACGTTGACGCATCCTGGGTTTACTCTGGTCCTCCTCCCCCCCTCCTCTTCCTCCTCCCGCTCCCGCCCCCTCCTCTCCTTCCTCCTCCTCCTCTTCCTCCTCCTCCTCCTCCTCCTCCTCCTCCTCCTCCTCCTCTCCTCCCCCTCCTCCTCCCCGTCCTCCTCCCCCTCCTCCTCCCCCTCCTCCACGCGCCACCGATGTCGCGCATCTGGCAGGCGCTGCAGGACCACACTGCCGACTCCTTCGCGAAGGGAGGCTCCGCCGCCTGGCGCGGGCGGCGCAGGGCGGCGTCGGCGTCGCGCCGGCCGACCACGAGAGCGCGCACGTCTGCGCCACCGGATCGTGGCGTGGAGCTCCGCGTGTGGGAGAGGGGGATTTTCAGCGCCTCGCTGGTGCAGCCAATCCTGCCTTACCGCCGACGAAAGCAGTGTGAGTGTGGGGAGAGGGAAGGGTGGGCACGCCTGCGCAATGCCTTTCGCGGCAAGCAAAATTATGGGAAGGGTCGCGCATCTGCACTCGCGCTCCTCCTCCTCCTCCTCCTCCTCGTCCTCCTCCTCCTCCTAATCCTCCTCCTCCTCCTCCTCCTCCTCCACCTCCTCCTCGTCCTCGTCATCAGCATCATCAGCATCAGCATCAACATCCGGATCAACAGAATCACCATCATCCCAATCATCACCGTCATCATTACCATCGTCACCACCACCATCATCATCAGTATCACCAGAATAATCATGATGATGACGATTATGAAACTCATACTCATATTCATCACCATCATCATCAGCAGCATCATCACCACCACCACCATCAGCATCAACATCACCACTATCATCACCATCATCACCACCATACTCATCGTCATCCTCATCAGCACCATCGTAAATCCGCCGATCCGGCGTGTGAGTTACAAGGAGTCTCAGCTACAGCCTCGAGGCTGAGCCTCAGCCTCCGGGGGGGTTGCCGGGGTGGCTCTGCCGGGGAAGGGGGGGTGGGGGGGGGGGGCGAGTTTCCGGCGGATGCGTTTTTTGACACCCCTCACAAGGATCGTGGCCTCCGAGGGGGTTCCGAACTCGAGTGCCACCCCTCCCGCACCAAGAGGCTCCGAAGAAGCCTCCAAGAGGCCCCAAGGGGCCCAGAAGAGGCCCCCAAGAAGCCCCAAGAGACTCCCAAGAGACCCCCAAGAGGCCCCCAAGTGGCCCCAAGAGGCCCAAGAGGCCCCCAAGAAGCCCCAAGAGGCCTCCAAGAGGCCCCCAGAGGTCCCGGCCAACCACGATATCCCAACCAGCGTCCATGAGGCCTCTGACCCACCACCCACGCACGGTGGTGGGATAGGCCGAAGGCCACTGGATAAATGCGGAATGAAAGGGGGAAGGAAGGGAAAAGAGAGGAGGGACGAGGGCGAAGGAGGATCACATCAGTCGGAGCGCCCCGGATCGGCGGCACTGGCCGAAGGCCACTACAATATCCTCATTCCATCATTCGTCGTCCTCCTCCTCCTGCAGATCTTCCTCCTGCTCCTTGTCATGCTCCTCCTCACTCCTCCTCTTCCTTGCTCACATCCTGATCCTTCCAAGTCCTCCTTCCCCTGCCTCCTCTGCTTCGTCCCTTTCCCATTATCACGAATCTACGTTTTCTGGCTCCCTCATCGTCGTTCTCCCTCCTCCTACTCCATCCTCGCTCTCCTTCAGCTCTATTCCCATCCTCTGGTCCTGCTGGTTCTAGTTATCCTGCTGCTCCTGCATCTTCACACTCCTTTTCCTCCGCTGCTTCGACCTCTTGACCATCATCCTCCCTCCTTCTCCTTTTGCTCCCGCTCCGTCCTCATTGTCCTCCGTCTCCTCCTCCTCTCCCTCTTTTTTCCTCCTCCTCCTCTTCCTCCTCCTCCTCCTGCTCTTCCTCCTCCTACTCCTCCTGCTCCCAACTCCTCACCTGTTGCGGGTTCCATGGGTCATCCTCCTCCCTTCTCCCTCCTCCTCCCTCCTCCTCAACCTCCCTCCCTCCTCCTCCTGGAGATTCATATGTGTTGAGGTCCTTGTCCCCATCGCGCACTGTCCAGGGGCCGGGAAGTACACATGTGATTACGAGTCGGACACCATAAGCTCGCGAGCAGAAGTTGGAGGGTGATAACGGATATGAGCAGCCGGAGGACCGAGGAGGTTACTTCAGCGTGCCGAAGCCCGAGTCCCTAACCGACAGCATACTACCCATGCTCGCTACCACTAAGAGAGATGTGATGACAACAAACATGCAAATACTACAGGCGGCAGGAGGACGGAGGAGAGAAGGAGCACAAATATGACAAGGATCGATTGCCCTTGTGTCCCAAGTCGTCCAATTCCTCGGTAGCTGCCCGAGCGGCGGCCTGATCAACCGTAGCAGGCAAACCGCGCACCATCTTGTCCGCGAGGGAAGCAACATCCTCAATGAGGCGTGGGATACACGACTACCTACAAGTCTGCGAGCAACTTGGTCCGCGTGGCCTCAGGAGCAGCCTTCGTGACGCAACCGGCCTGTAAGAACTCTTCGCCGACGCCCGACAATGGTACTGAAAACATTCGCACGATGCCCAACAATAAAGCAAATAGTCTCAAAGCGACAGCGGCCGCTGTTGGACAGGCGGCCTCTTGTCTCAATTGGACAACGTCCGCGGCATCAACACCGACAGTGGGTCCGATAAAAAATGAGCAAGAAACACAATCGGTCTTCGTTCTCACTCTTGCCGTGCCCATTCCGATCGTACCGAGCCCACGGCGGAACGAACCCTCAGAACCCCCATTCCTCCTCCTCCTCCTCCTCCTCCTCCTCCTCCTCCTGCTCACCAGCCCCTGGGTGTACAGCGGGTCCTCCAGTCGCACCACTGGGGGGGGGGTGTTCGAGTGGCGCCCGCCAGGTCTCCGCAGCCAGAGGGCACTGGGAGGGGAAAGTGCGGAGGGGGACCAGCTCAGGGGAGGAAACGTCGAGCCGGCAATCGACGGTACATCGTCGGCAGATCGGCGAGTGGCCCCCGATCGTAGAACAAACATCAAAAAATCGTTCAACCGAACACCGTCACCATTGGCATGGCCTTGGTCCCCCTGGCCAGTTGACCTCCCTCGATGGGGATATGCAACTCGCCATCGCTCGGACGTCCATTCCCTGTGTTTTTTTGTTGGTTTCGTGCGTGGTGTTTTCGCCACATGATCAAGGATGCTCCTCGATGGCCCTCGCCGAAGGAAAAATGCACACGTCCGAGCGATGCCAAGGCAATGCTATCTCAGCGCTTTGTGGGGCCTGCCCCCAACTGGGGGGTGGGATGGTGGGGCCGAGGTGCCCTGGCCCAGTGGGGCTGGGGATCGGCCAGACGAAGCCGGAACACATCTTCCTGAGCATCTTTGCTTTTCCCAGGCCAACACATTGTGTTTATCTGTTGCAATTATTCACGCTTTTTTGGAAGGTAATTGTTTGTTGCAGCGTCGAAACTTGATACATATCAATAGAAGTGCGTTAGCTGCCTTCCGTTTGGAGATTTCAATGTGTATAATTTCCATTGGCTGCGTCTGCACCCAGCGAGAGAGGAGCCCAACGGCGAAGATCAGAGAGACGACGCCACAGGACGACGAAGACGGCGGACAAACACGCCGGATCGATGACACGAGACCGAACGACATCCGCGTGGGGGGCCGCTGCCGGGTCAGCGCGGCGCGGACCCGCCCGCAGTCGGCCCCAGCCGCAGGTCTCAACTGGCCATCGCTCGGACGCCCGTTCCCTGTGCTTTTGTTGGTCGAAGCTCGTGCGCGGCTGCTCCGCCAGAATGATCAAGGATGCTCCTCCATGGCCCTCGCCGAAGGAAAAATGCACACGTCCGAGGGATGCCAAGTCAAGCGCGGGCGCGCGCCCGCCTTGGGCTCGGAGTAGGGCGAGCAGAACTTGAAGCCCGTCGTCTGCGCCCTCCGCGGTGGCTCCCTGGAGCGGGGCGCGGCGCTCGGCGCGGGGCACTGGTTGGCCAGGTGGTTCAGAAGGAACTCCTGCGGGCCAGGGACCGCGGGCCTCTCGCCCCTCCCCCTGTCTCCCCCTCCCCCTCCTCCTCCTCCTCCTCCTCCTCCCTCCTCCTTCTTCCTCCTCCCTCCTCCTCCTCCTCTCCTCCTCCTCCTCCTCCTCTTCCTCCTCCTCCTCCTCCTCCTATCCTCCTCCTCTCCTCCTCCTATCCTCCTCCTATCCTCCTCCTCCTCCTCCTCCTCCTCCACCTCCCTCCTCCTCCTCCCTCCTCCTCCTCCTCCTCCTCCTCCTCCTCCTCTCCTCCTCCTCCTATCCTCCTCCTATCCTCCTCCTATCCTCCTCCTATCCTCCTGCTACTCCTCCTCCTGAAGTTCAGGCGGGATGTGAGTTCGTGCCAGCAGGAGGGGGGAATCTTCTTCCAGGGCTGGGCCCCAGAGAGAAGGTACTGGAGCACGAGATCAGCATTGCGACGGCAGAGCAGCGTTCAGGCATTCAGAGCCTCGTGGGCAGCTCGTTGCTCGAAATACTATATCAGCAGAGGACTCGGGCTCGTCGCATGATCGAACCTTCACGTGCGCGCATGCGCCAACACTTCCCCGCCCTGTGCAGCGAGACGGAGACTCCTCCTCTTCCTCCTCCTCCTCCTGCTCCTCCTCCTCCTCCTATCCTCCTCCTATCCTCCTCCTATCCTCCTCCTCCTCCTCCTCCTCCTCCTCCTCCTCCTCCTCCCTCCTCCGACTCATCCTCCTCCTCCTCCTCCTCCTCTCCTCTTCCTCTTCCTCTTCCTCTTCCTCTTCCTCTTCCTCTTCCTCCTCCTCCTCCTCCTCCTCCTCCTCCTCCTCCTCCTATCCTCCTCCTACCCTCCTCCTATCCTCCTCCTCCTCTCCTCCCTCTCCTCCTCCTCCTCCTCCTCCTCCTCCTCCTTCCTCCTCCTATCCTCCTCCTATCCTCCTCCTATCCTCCTCCTATCCTCCTCCTCCTCCTCCTCCTCCTCCTCCTCCTCCTGCTCCTGCTCCTGCTCCTGCTCCTGCCCTCCCTCCTCCTCCTCCTCCTCCTCCTCCTCCTCCTCCTCCTCCTTCCTCTCTCTATCTCTCTCTCTCTCTCTCTCTTCTCTCTCTCTCTCGCCATCTTTCTCCGGAGCGAACACCGGCCCTGAGGCCGGCGCTCGCTCCGGAGGCCTCTGCCGGCTCTGCGGGCCAGCTGTGGCCCCGGCGCTCTGGCTTTCGAAAGGTGGCGACCCTTGACACAGAGGCCCCAGGACACACAAATAAATACACACAAATAACAATATCCCCCATACTTTCCCATATGTTCTAGGTTGTTCCCCCCCACTTCCCATATTTCCCCGTATTTCCTAGGAATCGCCGATTAATTGTGTCTGTGTGTTTTTTCCCCTCCTGACTTATGAGCATGGGCCTAGTCCCAACGGGCTGGCGGACTGTGCCCCACACGGCTCTGTGGGCTAGCTGTGGGCCCGGCGCCTTGGCCCTCGAAAAGTCGCGCCCCTCACAAGGATGGCGCCTCGTGGCGCCCCTCCCAAGGATGCCTCCGTGGGCCAGCTGTGGACTGGGCGCCTTGGCATTGGAAGAGCAGCGACCTTGACAAGAATGGCGCCCATCTGCCAGCTCTGTGGGCCAGCTGCAGGCGATGCACCTTGGTCTTTGAAGAATTGCGACCCCACAGGGATGGCGACCGCCTCCCAGCGGGCTGGAATAGGGAAACAAAAAGCGACATACACATAACAACTCGGAGGTCCGCGCGGATTTCTCGGATCGGCGCTGGGCCCCCCTGGCGGCGCCTCCGGCGCCGCCCCTGGCGCGCTCCGCGCGCCAGGGAAGGGGGTCCAGCGCCGATCCGAGAAATCCGCGCGGACCTCCGAGTTTTTATGCTTATGTCGCTTGCTGTTCCCCTATGGAAGGCTGTGCCAGCTCTGTGGGCCAGCTGTGGGCCGCGCTCGAGCTTCCGAGCTGTCGAAAAGCGGCGACCCTCACACGGACGGCGCCCTTCCTGGTGGGCCTGAGGCCTCTGCCGGCTCTGTGGGCCAGCGGCGGGCCCGGCGCCTCGACCTTTGAATAACATCTCCCCTCGAGAAAAGATGGGACTCCTCCCCTCGAAAAATATCTACCCTCGACCTTTGATAATATCTAACCTCTACCTCGATAAGATCTACCCTCGAAAAGATGGGACCCTCGAGGGCTGTGTCGGCTCTGTGAGTCAGCCGTGAGCCGGGCGCTCTGGCTTTCGAGAAGTGGCGACCTTCACAAAGACGGCGCCCCTCCTGGTGGGCCAGAAGCATCTGCCGGCTTTGAGGCCCATAGCTGTGCGCCGGGCACCTTGCCCTCGAAAAGGTGGCGCCCCTCACAAGTATGGCGCTCCTTCCAGCGGGCTGGAATGCTGTGCCGGCTCTGTGGGCCAGCTGTGGGCCCTCGAAAACTAGCGCCCCACACGGCTCTGTGGGCCAGCTGTGGGCCCGGCGCCTTGGCCCTCGAAAAGCTGCGCCCCTCACAAGGATGGCGCCCCGTGGCGCCCCTCCCAAGGATGCCTCCGTGGGCCAGCTGTGGGCCGGGCGCCTTGGCCTCTGAACAGAGGCGACCCACACGAGGTCCAGCTGTGGGCCAGGCGCTCCGGCTTTCGAGTGCAAGATGTGGGTCGACGTCGGGGTATTAAATATGTTGAGATTTCTGGCGCTCCGCCTCAAGATGGTCGCAGGAGGGTCTTCGAAGAGTCAAGAAGATGCCAAGCGAGCCAAACGAGGGCCCGAAAAAAGCCCCCAGAAGCCCCCCAAAACAGCTGGCCCAGCGCAGCCCCAAGAGGCCCCCACAACCGCCTCAAGAGACCCGCCAGGCGGCCGAGAGGGGCCCTAAACGGCACCAAGACGGCCCCAAAGTGCCACAAGACTGCCAAAGAGGGCCCCAAGACGGTCCCAAGTCTGCCCCACAAGAGCCCACGACAGCCCCAAGACGTTCTACATAGGCCGCATGAAAGCCCCTCAAGGGATAGAGACGATAGGTGTCACAAGTGACAGCCTCTTGGGCGTCGCCTCACGAATGTTGGGTTGGGACGGAGGCGGAAGTTGCCGCAGGCAGCTGGTTACGGTCCAGTCTAGCCTGGTCCAGCGAGTGTATGTAGATCAACTCGGATCGGGTCCATATCACACCTACCAGGTACAAGCCGACCTTACCTGACCCCATATGATGTGATTCGATCCTTTTCAGCCCCTACATCACCACGATCTGCGCTGCACGGTCTCAAGACAAGCTGGCATGGCTACGAGAGAGGATATGCGTACGAGGAATACCATGGCACGATAGTAATGATAATAATTAACAGAACGAAGAAAACAAAGACGAAATCCTTCGCGCGCACAATGGCCTGAAACCGGCTCTTCGCCTGCTCGCAATCATCGCCAGGGTTCTTGTCCTGTTCAAGTGTGCAGATTGGCAGCGGCAAGGCGGACGCAGCGTGCTGCACGCAGAAGGATGCGGATCAGAAGGAGGAGGGTATGTGTGTGTGTGTGGTGGATAAGCTGGGGATGGTCAGGAGGAGACCGCGACGCACATACTGAGACGGCGAGAAGACCGGCGGGCCTGGCGAGGCGGAAGAGGAGGTGGGCGGCTACATGTCCCGTGGGCTTGTCCTGCGGGTGCAGGGGGCGCAAGACAACTGCGGGGCCCGATCCGAGGACCTGCTGTGCCACCCCGCGGCTCCCGCGGGAGAGGCGCCGGGGGGTCATGCGGCCTGCCCCTTCAGGAAGGCAGAAGACCGCGACGGATCCGTGTTGAGAGGGGGATAGAACGAGGGATAGACACCGATGCGGACGAGGTTCGTCCCAGCGCCTCGACCGCGAGTGCCGCGCACGCTGCGCCCTGATGGCCAGGGCGGGCGGCATTCGAGGGACCCAAGCCCACTCGGCGTGCGACCCTAAGGCGCACTGCAGACGAAGCGGAAGGCGCCTCAGCCTCGACGCAACGCAACGAACCGAGAGAGGGAACGAACGAACGAACGACCACCGCTGCGGACGAGCGTCCAGGCCTACTCAGGCCAGGTCGATGAGGCCGTGGCCTCTGGATGCCGGCGTGCCTGGACACATGCAGTGCGGCACGTCTAAACAGCTAGAAGGGCAGCAGGAGGAGGAGGAGGAGGAGGAGGAGGAGGAGCAGCAGGAGCAGGAGGAGGGAAACAGGAGAGAGATGGAGGGAGCCAGAAAGGAAGGGAGGGAGAGAGCAGGGGAGAGAGGGAGAGAGGGAAAAAGGTAAAGGGGTTTGAGAGGCGCGCCGCGGGAGAACCCGCGTGCGTTCAGTGTCTTGCTCGCCGCACGCGCTGCGAACTGGGGGTCTCAGAGCGCCGAGCCCTGCGTGCGCCAGGGCCCCGCCGGGATGATCCCGCCACGCCCCCGAAGCGCGTAGGCCCAACAAGGGACGTGGGGATGTCGCGCTTCACTCATCACTGCCTGCTTGCGTCAGCAGATAGTGTAGAAGGGGCGAGGGGGGTAGTGGAAAGAAAAGGATAGAACAGAGACAGGTCGGGCAAAGGGAGGGAGGCGGAGGGGGAATGGAGTAGGGGATGGGGGAAGGAAACAAGTGGAGAGGGACATGGATATGAGAAAAGGCAGGGAAAGACCATACATTATATCTAGACAAAGAGAGAGAGAGAGAGAGAGAGAGAGAGAGAGAGAGAGACGCAGATATCAACATGCAGAATGTGTGTACATATATATATATATATATATATATATATATATACGCATATATATATATATATATATGTTATAACAAATGGCGGAAATCGTTTGTCCACGCAACGCCCGTTGTTATAGAACATCCCTGCGGCAAAATCCCACCCGAACTCTTGAATTTGCATACATGGATGGCTTCGCACTATACTCGTGGCTTACCCCGAAACTCCCTAACTCTCATTCATAAAAAGGGGTTCCCGCACGGGGGGGGGGGGCGCGACGCCGCAGCACCGCGCGGCAAACCCACCGCGAACCTTACTCATGTGGCTCGCGTTGGAAAACTGCCCATAATGCACTTCAGAATGATGTTCCCGCTCGAAGTTGCTTCATTCTGCATTCGCGCGCGCGCGACTCCAACTCCAAAAAAACGTACCCATGTCTACGACATGCCCTTGGCGCGTCTCACTGAAACGGCAAGCCCGCGGCAAATCTTGCCGACGCGGCCCCCGCTCCGAACACCCCGCAATTCGCTTGCTGTGGCCCCCGACCAAAGCTCCCTCACTCTACGCACCCACAAAGGGTTTCAGCACGGCTGGTGGCGGGCGGGGTGGCAACGCGATTCACGACACACACACACACACACACTCACACGCACACACGCACACACACACACACACACACACACACACACACACGCACGCACGCGCGCGCGCGCACGCACGCACGCACGCACGCACGCACGCACGCACGCACGCACGCACGCACGCACGCACACAACAAACCCATGCACATGGCCACCTTTTCGGGAACCGTCACAATGCTCTCAAGAATGGTGTTCCCGCTCGACACCCCCAAAAGAAAAACGCAGCAATTCGAATCCAACGCGGTGAGGCGGGACTGCATGATGCGGGCCGCTCACGCAATGCAGCAAGACTCCCAAACAGTCCCCAATGGCGCTGGTGATGCCGATGAAACTGATGTTTGGTGACTAGCTTGCGACCGCACAAAGAAAAAGTCGCACGGGCTCCCCCCGTGAGATCGTTACCGTTACGGGGGGCGGGGGGGAGTGGCAGACCCACTCTGCGGACGTTATGAAGCCAGCGTCTAAAAATACACACCGCCAGGCAGTTACCCACACCACGCTCCCAGCGCGGAGCATGGCAACTTGCGCGGCATTCTCCGCGCGCGCTCGAGCTCTGCGTCCCCTATCTTCGCGCGTCGCGCCCCGCAGCGCGCCAGGCGCGGCTGTCTTCGCGACCTCCCGGGCCACCGCCCCCTCAAGGGGGCGCGCAGCGCGACTCACTCGAGCAAGGGTGCGCGAGCACAACCGGGTCTGCGCTCGACCCGAAGGTGCGCGGAGCATATCCGAGGCACTGCTCAGCTGGGCCCCCCGCGGGCGCGGCATGGCTTCCAGGCGTGGTGGGGGCGGGCGGGGGGCTCAAGATTGGCGCGGCCGTAACGCGAGGCACTGGTCGACGCGCGAGGCATCCGACGCAATTCAAGGCCGAACGCCGGCGCAATATTTCTAAGTCGGCCATGTCCCCCGACAGGCGGATTCCGGGCGAAACATGGAAAGAAACAAAAAACCGAACTGATCCCCATCATATTTTCTGATTTGTTTTAACATTCCCCTGTAGAAGGACAGGCCCGATTCAACCATAGTTTTAAGAGAAGCCGACCTCGGCCCGATGCTACGCGTAGAATCTCCGAGGCGCTGCCCACCTGGCCCCCCGCGCGAGCGCGGCATGTCATCTGCGTGCAAAAATGAAGGGGGTAGCCTCTGGACTGACGCGGCCGCGATGTGAGGAACAGGTCCAAATGCGCGACGGCCGACCCCGTTCAAGGGTTTCACACATGACGAATGCGACTGCTACTTCATCCGTTGCTGACTCGCCGCGCGCCCCGGGCTTTCTCGGGCGCGGCCCTGGCCCCCCCGTTAGGAGGCACTGGCGGCGGACGCGGGCGACGCACCAGGCGCGACTCGCAGTCTTCAGTGAGAAGGCGAAAAACGGCGCAGAAGAGACTCTTCCGCCGTCGGGGGCGCTTGCCAAACCGGCGGCTGGAAAGCCCATGCCGCTGCGGCGCCGCGCAACGGAGCGCCCTTGCCAGCCGCCCGGGGGGGCGGGCACCCCCGGCGGCGGACAAAGCTCATGCCATGCCGTTTTTCGCCCGCCAACGCAAGCGCGGCCGCCGCCCCGCCCGCGCCGCGCCCGCGAAGCTTCTCGAGAGGGGGCGTCTTCATGTCATTCAAGACCTCCTCGGGGGCCCTACTTCAGCGTGGCCCCGCCCTCCGAGCGCCCCAGGCAGCGCGGCCCGCGCGCGCCCGCCGCCCTCCGCGCCGCAGCCGGCGCTGATCTCTGCGCCCTCCTCGGCCCGCGCGACCGCGGCGGCGGCGGCGGCGCGCCAGTCGTTGAACTCGCTGCTGGGGCACCCCACGAGCGCCATTGCCGGGCGTGGCGGAGCCGAATCAGCCGCGCGCCTGCTCCATGATCCATGGGGCACCCGCAGCCTCGCAGGGCGGTTGCGTCGAGCGTCGTCGCTGAACGAGCCCTCGATAACCTCGCCAACCATCCGCCGACGCCGACCCTTGCCAAGCCAACCCTGCGCGCACGACCGATGGGAGCGCCCCTGGCGCTCCCCAGGAAACGCGCGCGCCTGTTCGCGGCTGGCGGCCCTGGCTGTCCAGCGCCTGCCCGTCCGCGAGGCCGCGGCGCCGCTCGGCGTGACCCTCGACGTCGGCGATGAACCTGACCACCGCGACATGCTCCTGGTTTGCCATCTGGCCGAAGGGCGCGTCGGCGACGCCATGGCCTGGGGGGGTCGCCAATCGCGCGCGCGTGCTCAACCTGGCCGGGCCGGCCCCTGGCCCGAGACTAGCGCGCCGCCCCGAGCCGGGCCAGTCAACGCGCGTGGCCAGGGCAGCCGCCGCCGCGGCGGCGCGCGGCGGCGGCGGCGGCCCTGGCCCCGTTCGACGGTTGCGCGGGGCTCGGGCCGCCCGCTCGCCCGCAGGCGCCCAGCGGAGCTGGGCGTCGCGGCGGCCCATCTCCAGGATTCTGCAGCGCCGCCACCCGACCAGGGAGCTGGCGTTGAAATGGCGGCCCCGATCGCTTCGCAGTACCACGGTCTCCGAGTCCTGCATGGCGTTGCTCGGCAGCTGCCCCATCGCGCCCTCGAGCCACGCGCGCGCAAAAAGCGCGGGCGGGCTCTTTGACCGAGAACAGTGCACGCAGTGGACCTTCCGCCGCGGGAGCCCCCAGACGAGGGAGGTCGATCGACGACTCGCCGGGGCCCCCGCCGAAACTGAATTCCCCAAATGGCCAGACAGGTGGCGCGGAACGAAATCGAGGCACTGAAAATCCTATGATCGTGGGCACCCGGCCAGAGGGGGCACGGGGCGCCCGTCGCCGGCGTCGTGGAGCTCGAATGCTAGAACGAGCGCGTCTTCCGCTAGCAAAAACCGCGGGCGTCGCGTTCCTCGAAGGCGGCCCAGAAGCACAAACACCCCTTGCACGGAGCGCGCCAGGCCGAGTAAATGCGTTTCTGCGCCGACCAGTCACGCGCCGACGTCGCCCTTGTCGAACTGCTGTCGCTGCGAGCGCAGCGAGCGCAGGGCCCCTGCCGGGACTTGGCGAAGCCGGGCCCGCTTCTTCAACTCCCGCAGCCCGAACTCAACTGGAAGGGGCGGGAGGCTGTCGCGCCTGTCAAGGCTGCGCTCTGTTAACATGATTCCACGGCGGCGGCGGCG